CTTTTGTCAGCTGGGAACTTACCTGGAGACGCAGGGTCCAGCCTTTCCAAGATTATATGTAGACCAACAGGAAAGGAAGATTATCAGTGGCATGCTTCAGAACAAGCTGCAGGATGATCCAGAACCACAGGGCCCAGTATTGCCACCGTCAAGTTTGTTTCTAGCTGTGAAACCACTCAAGGCTGAGGCAGATGAGAAAAGTAGGTGGTGCAGTGCAGGTTCTGGCTAGGACCCAGATCTCTGCCTAGAGAGTAGAGATCAATCTCAGCACTGACTGGGTATGACACAGGTGCCCCTCTGTGGTGTGCTCATCAGAAAAGATAGTTGGTCCAAAGTAACATTTGGGTCATTAACAAAATGGGGCCTCTGATTCAGGCCCTAACCCTGATCTTTAAGTGGCTGTCACCCAAGCCCTCAGCCAACAGTTGGACTCACTCTGGAAGCCTAGCCTACTGCTGGGAAGTGGTGTAAGTCAACTCCTCTGGGAAACCCTACCATTCAGTCTCTGCAGCAGAAAGTTCAGGCTAAGAACACCACCCTGGCCAAGTGGTGGTGGCGGTGCATGTTTTTAATCCCAGAACCCGGGAGGCAGAGGCAGGTGGATCTGAGTTCAAGGCCAGCCTGGTCTACTTGTTTTTAGCTCTGAATCCAAAATCTTATTATAACTCCCAACATATTCTGGGAGGCAGAAGCAAAATAGCTCCCCAAGTCTACAATTTGTGAGCTGGTCATGGTGGCCAGCACTTGGGGAGACAGAGGCAGAGAGATCTGAGTTCCAGGCTAGCCTGGTCTATACAGTGAGACCAAAAACCAAAACCAAAGGCCTACAAATCCATCCCATCTCTACAATTTTACTAGCTGGGTAGCCTTAGACAGTTGACCAACTTCTCAGCCTTTCCTCACCAAAGTAAACCTTACCCACAAGAACCGATGAATCCTCAGAGAAAGTTACAGAAGTGGTCAAAATACAGGGAAGCCCTGAGGACTGACAGAACATCAAGTCACTAGGGTAGAGACAAAGCTGGGGGCCTTTGTCCTGATTCTGTCCAATGCCCTCAGATGAAGTGCAGTCTACCCAGCAAACCACCAGATGGCCTCAGCAGAACACAGAGTTCAGGTACATGGGGCAAACAGGGTGTTACAGGGCTGGGCTAAGCTCTGGGACTCTTGATAGGGCATACTTCTTACTTATAAATACCCCAATGTCTGGGTTTTCCAGGAAGAATGCCACTCAGCCACAGCAGCTGCCACTCACAGACCCCAAGTTGCTGAAACAGATCAGGAAGGCAGAGAAAGCTGAAAGAGAGTTTAGAAAGAAGTTCAAGGTGAGAACATAGAGCAAAGAATGAATTCTGGGAGGACTGGTACCCAGGGCCCAGGACTTCCATCCTGAGGAAAGAATCAAAGTTACAGCAGAAGTAGAGTCTTAACATGATACTCCCCAAGTTTGAAGGTGAGATCGTGATTCACACAAAGATGATGATTGATCCCAATGCCAAGACCCGGCGTGGTGGTGGTAAGCACCTGGGCATCCGGCGTGGAGAAATCCTGGAGGTGATCGAGTTTACTAACAAGGATGAGATGCTGTGCCGGGACCCCAAGGGCAAGTGTAAGTATGCTTGGCCCACATGTAGGGAAATGAGGGAGGGGTTCTAGGGTTGAGAATCCACTCTACTCTCCCCTGCAGATGGCTATGTACCCAGGATTGCACTGTTGCCCTTGTAAGTGTTGGTCCTGCCTGGGTGGAATGGGGAACACCAGGGTTGTCCCCCTACTGACTATACTGTGCTCTCTGCCAGGGAAACAGAAGTATATGATGACGTCAGCTTCTGGGGTATGTACAGTGACTCCTATAGGGATGCTTGTTATCATGCTTCTGTGGCATAGATCACTTGAACTCATCCTTCTTTGCAGACCCTCTGGACACCCAACCGTTTCCTCAGGGACAGTAAGGCAGACAGACAAGTGGGTTCCAGGACCACCAACCTAGTCACTGCTTACTCAGGAGCCTTGGATCTCAGCCTGGCAAACAAGCCCAAGTGTACATGCCCACATAAAACTCGTTTTTAAAACATCCTTGCTTCTTGTCTTTTCCTCTCCTTCCTGACTGGTACACACAACAGAATACAGGCACATGCTAGGCATCAAAACTGAAGAGAAAGAAAAATCAGTTGTCTGCGCCATAGGAAAGGAACTGCTAAGGATTCACCCCCACACACCCTAGATGACCAGTAGCTGTATCACAAAACTCCTTGTAGGCTGGAAGCAAGTGTTGCCAAGCGAGTCTATGACCGCCTTTCACTAGTGGGACTCCTGACTAACAGGACATCACATGAAGTGTGTTCCAAACAGTGACATTCTTAGTGGGCTTGAACAAAGAAAAGCCAAAATTAAGTGAGCTTCATTCAGTGCCTGAGAATAAGGCCACAGAATGACTTTCAGGATTGCTATTATCACTCCTGGGAAGATGAAGACCTTTTAGGATCTGTACTATAGTGTTCCTACTATAACCAGAGTCTGCTTTCCGAAGATTGGAGCCCACAGACAAGCAACAATGGAATCAGATCCCTGGAGGTCACAGCTCTGAGGAAAAAGTACAAGCTGCCCCAGCTCTGCAGACCTCAGATGGCCATCTCTATAACATAAAACAAATACACACACAAAAAAGCAAGCCACTTTCAGGAACTGGTATTTATTATCAAAGTCATATTTGATGTCAACAAGATGCCACAACTACAAAAAAAATTGCGCACATTGCAATCTCAATGCAAACAGTCAAATGGAACCCCAATCATTAAAATATTAATTCAGATTACCCCAAAAAGCAACTGAATTTTTTAAACATCTTTATACATCCAGCCAACAAATTAAAATGGTTAACAAGGAAAAATACAAATTCAGAAGTCTGGTATTGATGTTTAAAAAAGGCAACTGCTTAAGCATTTCTATCGATTCGAACATCAATCTCTCGGCCACTCAGCTTCATGCCATTCATCATCCGGCAGGCTCTCTCAGCCACCTCTGGAGACTCAAACTTAACCACACCGCACCCCTTGGATTTTCCGTTCTCCATCTTGATGTCGGCGTACAGCACATGGCCTGGCACAGGGAGGGAAGAAGAGACCACACGCATCAGGCAAACCCAGAGCTCAGCCTCAGTCTGGGCTCCACTCAGTCCAGATCACCTGTTGGATTTCGGTGACAGAGTCAAAAAGGAGAGAGGCCCTTGCACATGAAGTGAATGCTCAGAACACCACGAATGGCGCCAGCAACTACAGCCCCCTCCACTATATTGCCATTGTTCTCCAAGCAGGACAACAGCCTAACCTTCTGTGAAGAACCTGCCAACCAGCTTCAAATGTTTGCCTTTATGCTCCAGCAAGTTACACCAAGAGGGGACTATGTGGAGCCAACTTTATATTTATATTCTAGAGGCTTAATTATTGAATACCACCATCTAGTCACAAGAGCCACTGCCAATATGATACTCTATACTGCCCCAATGTAAGCCAGGTATACTTAGTGAGTAGCTTACACATATCCATTCATAGACCTGTAAGCACCCAGGTTATTAAGTACCCAGGTATGTGTCAAGTACAATAAATGGGTCTATAATAGAGTAAGAGCCAAAGACACGTTAGTACTGTTAGGCTCTTAATTCTCTTGCTACTAATGGCTTGGGGAGAGATGACACTCCAGTGGCTTCTCATGATAAAGTTCTGAAAGATATTAAGTAGCAATTCATCAGAATAAACATTCCTGACAGAGCAGGACACAATGGTACACATCTGCAACCCAGAACTTGGGAGGCTAAAGCAAGATTTTGAGTTCTAGGCCAGACTGGAGCTACATGGCAAGACCCAGCCTCAAAAGAATGACAAGACAGAACTAAAGGAGGGAAGACAAAAACAAGAATGGAAAGGTGGCTCACCTGTAATCCCAGCCCTTGGGAGGTGGAGGTAGGAGCAAGAGTGCAAGGTCACTGAGGATAAGACTCAGTGGATACACTGCTTGCCTAGCATGCACAAAGCCCTGGGTTTGAGCCCCAGCACTTATACAAACTAGGCATGGTGGCACACCCCTGTAACCCCAGCGTTCAGGAGTTAGAAGCAGGACTAAAAGTTCAAGGTTGTTTTTGGCTACATAATAGTGAGTTTAAGGTCCAGTCTGATTTCTAGGACCCCAATCTCAAAAAAATTAAAATAAAACTAAGAGTTCAAGATCATCTTCGGCTACACAATGATTTTGCAGCTAACTTGGGCTAGTTGGATTCTGTCTCAAAAAGAAAAAAGAGAAAAGGGGAAGTAAAAAAGAAAAGGGATAAGGGAAGGCCATCTTCTGGCAAGAAAACAGAATGTCACCGGTTCAAGGGCAATAGGGAGATGGAACCAAGTTTTCAAAAGCTTTTGAATTTGCATATTCTCAGAGGTGGGATAAGTGGCACATTCCAACCTGAGTTTTTATAATATCTAGTTACAATAATGACTGATATGAAATTTTCAGTAGAGAGAATCAAAGAACCAGGCAAGAAGGTGAGCTTTGACTCTACAGCTACCCCCCCAAAAAACAGGGGAAAGCATCAAAAACACTAAAATGTAAGCCATTTCTGAATGAAAAAACAAAAAACAGGTGTTTTGATCGAGTAGCACCTAGACCTTGGTTTAGCTGAGAAGGTGCAATGGTAGCAGGGGAAGACTGCATCTCGGTCATCAAGGAAGCTTTCCAGAAAGTTTGCCTAGTGTGCCTATGAATCCACAATCAGAGACTTTCATCCCATACTGTGTGCCCAGACCTGTAACTGCAGAGCGTGAGTGCTCTGGGGGAACCAAACTGGCTATAGGTTTCATGGAGGAAGGCAACTTGTCTTGGAATTACTTGTTTTTGCCTCTTACAAATCTGTGACTTTAGGAAGGTGGCTTTGCTGACTCTTATGTAAAAATGACAATACTGCCTCCTCTCAAACTAAGAAAACAGGAGTGGTAGCATTTGCCTCTAGTTCCAGAATATGGACGGCAGAGGCAAAAGAATCATGAACTCAAGTCCAGCTTAGGTTATAATAGAGACAGACTGTCTCATAAAGGATGAAATGAGCACATAGCATGACACATACCAGGACACCCAACACCTGCCTGAGTACCTGCAGAGGCAGAACAATGGCAAGGCCCATTGGTGCTCTAGAGCCCATGGTCAGTGGTTAAGGCTAGGAAGGAAGCGTCATTGCTCCAATTCAACAGCATCACCAACAAGCCACAACACAGGAATGCATATAGAGAGCCTTTCTCAAACAGACACTTACCACATTCGTTGAATTTGTCCTTTAGCATCTTCCATGTAAAATCAAATGGGAGCTGAGGAAAAAAAGAGGCAGACCAATCTGTGATGCAACCAAATCTTAATGTACAGATATCACAATAGATACGAGAATATGACTTGAAGGTTTCTTTGGGATGGGTGTATAGCTTAGGCATAGGTAGGGTGATTTGCCTAGTAAGTGTATAGACTTAGATTTAATCCCCAGCAGTCCCCCCAACTTCAAAAAAATCTCCACTTCTCATGACAGAGAGGCAGGCTGACATCTTTATGACAATTAGCAGGAAACAAAACAAGTCTTTAGCTTATGGGGATGACCTAAGAGCTGAGTAGGCAACCCATTCAGTCATTCAGTGTAATTCTATCAATCACAACCACCTTTCTCTAAATCACTGTGCCAAGACTGAAGTGTTCCTCAAGTCAAGGGAATCAGAAACCACAGACCTTTAGAGCTCAGTTTACTCTACTGCCTCACATATCAGAGGCAAATGCCTGACTACTGTATTTTTGTTTCTTTGTATTTTGTATTTCACTTGGTTGCTCTTGTTAGCCTTGATCTCATAGAGAACCAACTAACCTTTACCTCTAGAGTGTGGTTGGGATTAAAGAAATGGGCCACCATGCCTGACCCTGAAAATCCTCAACCTCCAGCCCAGTTTTGGGGATGGGCATGCTACCTAGCTCTCCCTTCGACTTCCCTCTGGTCTACATCGCTCAGTCCACTGATTTTCCCCACCACCTCATTCAGAACAACAACTAGGAGCTCCTGAAGAACCACTTACATTTCTCACAAATATCTGGCAGGCCTTCCTGGCTACTCCAGGTGCATGGCCTCCAGCTCCGCCAAAGGAACCTGCGAAGCTTCCTCCAAAGTTGCCCCGTTCCATCTCAATGGCTCGGTCAAAGCTAGCACCTCCAGCGCCACCCATGGCCAGGCCCATTCGCTCAATGCCAGCGCCCAATGCCGGGCCCATGGCAGGGCCCATACGCTCCAGACTGTTGGCGCCCATTCGCTCCAGGCCCATGCGCTCCAGACTGTTGGCTCCCATGCGCTCCAGGCCCATGCGCTCCAGGTTGTTGGCGCCCATTCGCTCCAGGCCGGTGGCCATACGATCCATTACAGGGCCCATGCGCTCCAGGCCGGCCCCCATGCCTGCGGGCACCATGCGATCCATGCTCAGGCCCATACGCTCAATGGCAGGGCCCATACGCTCTACACCAGAGCCCATGCGCTCAATGGTTTGGCCCACTCGGTCAATGGGCGCGGCCATGCGCTCTAGGCCAAAGCCCATGCCGGCACCCATGCGCTCCACGCCAGAGCCAATTCGCTCCATGGTCTGGCCCATGCGCTCAATACTGGAGGCCATGTGGTCAAGACCTAGTGGGCCCATGCGCTCAATGCCGGAGCCCATGCGCTCAACTGAGCCCATGCGGTCCATGACCAGGCCCATACGCTCAATCTCTGAGCCCACTCGATCCATGCCATGGCCTAGGCCTGCGCCCATGCGCTCCATGCCAGCACCGCCAATGCGGTCAATGCCAGGGCCCATCCTCTCGATCCCAGGGACACTGCCTCCAGCTCCACCTGAAACAGGAATAAAAAGCACAAGTGGAAGTCAGGGACTTGTGTAGGTATTCATATACCAATGCAAGCCAGTCTGGGTGCTTCAGATCCCAAGTTCAAACACAAATCAAAGTAATTTACTATTAAGAAAACTCAATGTTAGCAACAAGATATCCACAATTATCCTTTTCACTCCATAACAAAGGTAAAAATTTCATAATAAAACTGAAGGAATAAAAATTCACCTCCACTGGGTGGTGGTGGCTCATGCCTTTAATGACAGCCCTTGGAAGGTAGAAGCAGTTGGATCTCTGTGAATTTGAGGCCAACCTGGTCTACAAACTGAGTTCAAGGACAGCCAGGGATACACCACAGAGAAAACACTACATCCTAAAATCAAAAACCAAAAACCAAAAAAAAAAAAAAAACAAAAACAAAAACAAAAAAAACAAAACAACAACAACAAAAAACCCCACCCACCAAAAACCAAAAAACTTCACCTTCGTGCTGGTACCTATAACAAACCTATGAGTCACACATCAATTCCTGAAAACTTTGTAGTTTCTTATCAGCAGACATTGAGAAATGCTCTCAAAGAAGCTCGGAAAACTTCATATTCAGTAACTCGGGGTAACAGATAAGAGTTACATGGAGATAATGCAAAGTCACTTACAACCTTTATCCTCCCTTAATTTATCCCTCTTAAGATGCCCTGCTGACAGCCAGTCTGTCTGCATTTCCTTAGTGCTTCCAAGGCACAAAGGTATTAAACAGCCATGTGAGCAGAAGATAAAGAAAACAAAAATGTCCGTATAGATCTCAGTGTACACATGCATACAAACTGTCCATTTCTTAGAACACTTCCTTCTGGGAGGAAAATTGATAGCTTATGTATATTGATTTCATTGGTTTTGGAAGAAAGATGCTGACTGCATAGCAGGGTCAATTCTCGAAGAAGCCAAGGGGTCGGTGACCAGTGCACAATGACCCTCATTCCATGGTGCTTGCACCCCTGGACAGGGAAGGTCTGGCTCCATCACCAAGGCCATACATGACCTACCACTTCACCATGCAGAGCTCAAAACTCGAGTTTCATAGTGCTCATCTCTCAACATAGCAGTCTAACCCATAGCTAGACTATTACTGATCCAGGGTGAAATTCAACAAGAGGAACAATCAGCAATTTTTATAATAGTATGTAACTCGCCAAAAGTTGTGTGGCCTGGCACAAGTCAATTCACCTCTCTGTGCCCACTTCTGTAGCTGAAATACAGCACACTGGTTGACAAAAAAGAAGCACAACTTCAAGAATGTTAGTGTTTCAGAACAAAAATAGCTCAGAAAGTAACTTCTACACATTTGCGAGAGGGAAAAAGGTTCTAGCTTAACATATAGTGTAGCAATGATGCTGGCAGCCCCGTGCCAACACCATCAGAATCAGGAAAAGACCTTAGCAAAGCCCCCATAGAAATGCCTTGCAAGTGGGCTACCAAAGGAAGGCCAAACTTGAAGGCTGGAGGAAAAAAATATTGGGCTTAAAAGGTACAGTTTGGGCTGGAGAGCTGGCTCAGAATTCATTCAGTTCCCAGCATCCACATCACAGAGCTCACAAGCACCTACAGTTCCAGCTCCCAGGAGATCTTCTGCCTCTGTTGTCTACTGGCACCTGTACTCATGTGCACATCCCTACACACACCTACACACCTACACACCTACACACCTACACACACACACACACACACACACACACACCACCACCACCAACAACAACAACAATTAAATCTTTAAAAAAAAAAAAACAAAAAAACCAAACAAACAAAAAACACCAGTTCATTTAATTCTAAGAGCCCCTAAAAGCATCATGGAAGACAATATACCAAAATGTTTGCAGTACTCAACAATGGACACCGGGCCTATAGATACTCATTCTTTGAGTCTTTCTAATGAACACACATGCATGTTTTCACAAGCATTTGTCATGTATTAGGCGGTATTAGGTTAAGAGTTTTTACATGTACTGGCTCTTTTACAACCCTCTAAGATGGTACCTATTATTCCCTCCCCGCACTGTATAGGTGAGTACTACAAAGGTATAGTCACTTGCCAAAAGCCACACAGCTACAAAAAGTCAGTGACTGCTCCTACCCTGGGTAGCCTGTGTCAAATCCCATGTTTGTCACACTACTGTTGAGTCCCCATTAAATGCCTGTTCTAATAACAACAACAATAAAACACAAAACATCAACCTAAATGATTCCTACCTCCTCCTTGCTTTGCAATGATCTCTCCTCTCTTCAGTGCATTACTTAGGATTTCTAAGGAAAGCAGGAAGAAAAAATAATTAGACAAATTTCTCTGTAACACAAACCTGATCACTATATTCTAGAAGCATAATAGTTTTTTGTTGTTGTTGTTATTTTTTAAAGAAAAGGGAAGGGGTTTGAGAAACATACATAAAATCATTTTACAGAAAACAGGAGAGCCACATGCTAGGACTTCTTATAGCTTCAGAGTCAAACCCAGTTTGCAGGGGTGCCTGCAAATTCATTCAGCAGAGAGGAATGGTGTGTATTAATGAGTTAAACTCAAAGACAGGAGAAGAGGGCCCTCAACCCTTCTTGATCAGCAGCAGTTTTCTATAGATGCAACACTTAGTATTGCGGCTTCCCCAGTGGGCAGGAAACCAAGGCCTTTCCATGTCTCCCACCCAGGAGCCTGAAGCCTGCACAGACTCCACCCTTCTCTGCACCACCAAAATAAAGTTGTAGCTGTACAGGACAGGAGGTGAGGACAATCAGCACCCATTGAACAAGCAGGATATGATGTTGACAAAGACACGGGACATTGTCCCACAGAGAAAACACTGTTGCTTGCTGGCCAATGGTTGGTTCATCCAAGCCTCCTTAAACTTTGCTACTGCTATCATTAACTTCCTCCTTAGAGATCTGAAGTTTTAGCTTCTATCATGTGAGAACACAGTTATGAGCAGAAAATAGGTACTTAACTATTACAGGACATCGCAGCTGTCAGAACTGTTTGCAAATGAGACAGAGAAATCTCTATGATGTTTATAAGAGAGCAGAAGTTAGGGAAGTCATTGTGGTTATCTTTGTAGGATGCAAGACAGCATGGACAGTACTTGCAAGGTACTGGGAGAAGATATTTGAATGTACCCTGATTGCTGATGGAGAAGTGGAATGACTATAGACATAATGGGAAAAAAACAAATTACTGCATGCAGGTTATGGATGCCTAAAATTGGCTGCCTACTTCAGCACAGACCAAGCAAGTTTTGAGAAGATGTCCGAGCTGAGGATCCAGCTCCACATGGCCTAGCAGACAGAAAACATTCCTGTACTGCTTTTGGCAACAAAAAGTGAACTTAGTGTGGTACCATGAAGTGTCTATGTAAGTCAGAATGGAAAGCCTGTGATGCTGTGTTATTCAAGGGCATTGCATACTAGTCATCTGTGTTCAAACAGCAAGAATGAAGCAGAGGCTTGCCTACCAGAAAAGGCAGAAAAGCATCCCCAAGAAAGCTAGGTGTTTCTGTGTCAGCATCATAGCCAAAAAACAAGAACATGGCCTTCAAAACCGAAGTCAAGATCCTTCCATGGCTTCTGTGTGTTCTAGACACTGTCTCTCCCAAATGGAGATTGTTACAAGCCTTTGTGATGAATAATCTGTATTGCATTGGATATTTAAGTAGTGTTGTTAGACATGGTTTCTCCCATTGCAACTGGAAACCAACACTACCTCATGGGCAACGAATACACAGGAAATGGAAGATCTTTACCAAGGGTATTCATCTAGAAATACTCAAACCTTGTTACATGGATACCTAAGACTCATTTCAGGACATGTCTGTGGTTCACAGCAAAATACTGAAGCTTACTAAGAATGCCTACAACAGGAATATCTCATCATTGAAGTTTTGCTCACTGAGGTCACCAGGTCATAAGGAAATCTAGGAAAATGGTCAGACTTAATTGCAAGAAAGAGGTCTTTCTCCTTTCTATGGAGCTACTGACTTAGAACTGGCCACCATGATAATCATAACTATTATTGTTCTACCAAAGTGTGACAAGATCTGATGGACCTTCCTGGAAACTAAAGTTTATTGACAGTTTTTGTTTAAATAGCAGAGATTTGTAGACTTAGAAACTGGTATGTGGCTGGGCAGAGGTGGCATATGCCTTTGGTCCCACTCAGAAGGCAGAAAGATCTCTGTAATTCAAGGCCAATTTGGTCTACAGAACAAGTTCCAAGACAGTCAGGGCTACACAGAGAAACCCTATCTTGAAATAAAATTTAAAAAGAAAATTGTTTTACAAACTAAAATATTGCCAAAAGGCTAAGTATTTATAAAGCCAAAATGCTCCTGGTCTTTTGGGTGGGTCCTTGCATTCCATAGCTGTGTTCTATTTATTATTTTGCAAAATAGCCATTTTTAACATTTGATAAAGCATTACCCATAAAAATAGATAAGGAGAAAAATATCTATTTTATTACCCTTTCTGTATTTTTCAAGTAGGCAAGTTTAACCTGTATGTCATATAATAAAAGAAAATCTTTGAAAAGGAAAAAAAATTTTTTTTGTATTTTCCCTCAGTCTTTTGCAATGTGGGAAAATGTACTCACCTTTTCTGGTCTTCAAAGTATACTAGCCTCAAGGCACATCTTGTACTATTATCCCTATAACCACAAATGAAAGCCTAGCCCACAGCTGTTTCTTGTGTTCCAAACACCTTGGAGGAAGATTGGAAAGTACAGGGAGAGATAAGGTGGCTCCCATCTGCTGGCAAGTATCCAGTTCATTCTTACAAGACACCCAAGATCCTAATATATCAATCTATTCCCTATGACAGCTTTATAACACTAAACCACATATTTAAAAAGTTGAAACAACCAAACTCTTTCTACAGACATCCATAGACTTCCCTAAGCAGGTGCCCCACTTGAATCTGTTCCCTACGCCTTCCAAACCACTGTACCTAAGTGCCCTGTCTGCTGCCACGCCAGCTGCCTGTGCCAAATCTCTGGGCCTCCAGATGCCAGCTTCAGCTTCAATTAATTGTTCCTTTGCCCTGTCTCCCTACATTGTTGCTTTGAGCACAGCTTATCTACTGGCTGTCCACAACCATCCTTTCTAGGTCTTAGCATACTTCATGAGCTGCAGATATAGCTGCCAAGGGTCTGGAAACAATACTCCCACTCACTTCATTAGACTAGTCTCCTGGCCATTTATAGCCATCATCTCTTCAAGTGCATCCTATCCCAAGGTCAAGGGCCACAGACCCATATTTGAAGCACTGAGTACAGATGCTTGCACAAAGAAGTGCAAAGATCTACTTACTGCCAGGCTATAAGAAGGGATTCTGTCCTGGAGGTAAAAGAGATAAAACAAACAAACAAAAGAACAACAACAACAAATCAAAAACCAAACCAAACCAAAAAACAGAATGAACACCAAACCAAGCAAGGCCATTACTCTGAAAATCCAACTTAACTATTTTATTTGGTATAGACTGTTCTACTCCTTTGTGTTTGATTACAAGCAGCAGCAGGGAATCAAGGACTCAATAGTATTAACTAGAAAGAAGGTACGACAGTAGCAAGGACAGCAAGACCTGCAGGTAATGTTTTCATCTAGGTCAGGACAGGACAAACTTCCTGTTGCCATATGAAGTAACCTCAGGGACCATTTCAGGACAGGAAAGGTTGACACCCTTGTCACATAGGTGAGGGGATGTATGTGTTACAGAATGGCAATGATGTAAGGTTCTGAGCATAACATCATTTTCTTTTGACTGGACACGATCCCAAGACAGTGTTTTAAAATATATCTTTAATACAGGACTATTTTAGACATAGAAACAAATCTAGTTTCAGCAATAGGAAATGCAATCATTCTAGTCAGATACAGGTATGAACTCATTCCTCCAAATTTCAGATAGTCCAGAGCAACCAAGTTCAGAAAAAGTAAAACTGTTTCTCCTTATCTAAACATGGATGTCTTTATTATTTCTAATTTTATTCCTTATTTATTAACAAACCAAGCACGGATTTCCTTATGCCATTTTTGTACCTACTACATTTTGCTTGACCTCTCCCGTAATTCTCCCTCCCTAGGATGCTAGAACCCTTTCACTGTCATGTATCACATGTACTGGTCTCCCTTAAAGCCTCTTTCTTCTACTCTCTAGTCCCCAACACCCATGTAGATTCACATATATAAAGTCAAAGTTAGTAAGTGCATCTTCACTAGCAACCAAGTTAGGTTAAATTTAAGAAAATCATTTTTTTTAACCTTTGAATTTCATAATTTTTATTTTATTTTACAATACCATTCAGTTCTACATATCAGCCACGGGTTCCCCTATTCTCCCCCCTCCCACACCCTCCCCTTACCCCCAACCTACCCCCCATTCCCACCTCCTCCAGGGCAAATCCTCCCCCGAGGACTGCGATCAACCTGGTAGACTCAGTCCAGGCAGGTCCAGTCCCTTCCTCCCAGACTGAGCCAAGTGTCCCTGCATAAGCTCCAGGTTTCAAACAGCCAACTCATGCAATGAGCACAGGACTTGGTCCCACTGCCTAGTTGCCTCCCAAACTGATCAAGCCAATCAACTGTCTCACCTATTCAGAGGGCCTGATCCAGCTGGGAGCCCCTCAGCCTTTGGTTCATAGTCCATGTGTTTCCATTCATTTGGCTATTTTTTTCAATAATTGAGTAAAACTGAAATTTATTATAAGCCACAGTCGTCCTAGGGACCTTCATGCTATATATATAGCCTCTATGGTTCTATGGGTTGTGGTCTGATTGAAGAAAATCATTTATGGGATGAAGAAATGGCTCAGTGGTTAAAATCACTGGCTGAGGACTGGACTAGGCGCTCTGCATAGTAAGACAGCTGTGTAGCTTGATCTGCCTACGGGGTCCCTGGCAGTAGGATCAGAATCCATCCCTGGTGCATGAGCAGGTTTTTTGGAGCCCACTACCTATGATGGGACACCTTGAACAGCCTTGAAGCAGGGAGAGGGGCTTGGACCTGCCTCTACTAAATGTATCTCCCCATGGGGGGCCTTACCTTCTTATAGGGAATGGGGGGTGGGTTGGGAGAGGGAGGCTGGAGGGGCTGGAGGAGGGAAGAGGGGGATCTGTCATTGGTATGTAAAATGAATAAGAAATTTTCTTAATTAAAAAAAAAAATCACTGGCTGTTTTTCCAGAGGACCATGGGTTCAATTCCCAGCACCTACAAGGCATCTCACACTCTGTAACTCCGGTTCCAAGAGATCTGACACCCCCTTCT